AGTGGTACAAGGCCACTTCCTCCGAAAATGGACTGATTATGCTGTATACAGAGTTTAGTAATTAGAAACACTTCTCAGAATTATGTAGATAGTATTTGCAGAGGTCTAGTTTCCTTTTGGAAAGAGTACTTGGCAATTATTCCAAACTGGTAATTTGGCTACATAGTGACCAATTATATTGTGGGGTTTTTTTGGCTTTGTTGTTTTTTAAATAGTCCTGTTGTTGCAGGTGGTTTAATACCAGTAAAAATAAGACATAAACACTCCTTTAGAAATAAACTTCTATCAGACTTTAATACATTGATCTGCTTAAACCAGAAAAATATCTGTTCTAACTGTGAATGGACAAACAGTTCCAGACCAATAGTTGTCCTGCTCTTACAGAAGGAATTGAAACTCTGGGATGCCTGTTCCAAAAAATACGTTTATTTTATTCCTAAAGTTAACTTATCATCTTGTCAAAACAACTTCTGTGATTGAAAACTATTTACATCATATGAACACCTACAAGCTCTTGGAAGTGTGCACCTTTAAATATGAGTAGGTCTGATGTTGTGGTCTTTTGAAATAGATGTTGCCTAACCATAATGAGTCATCATATTTTTGGGGAGCCTGCAAACATCACAAGGTAACAGACATACATCACAGGGAAAATTAATAAATCTGGAGGTTTCCATTTACACCATTGTAAAATAATATATATTGTTTAGAATCAATAAGGCTAAAACCCAAAAATATGAACATATCTTAAGATCTAGAGTTGATCAGCACAATCTTGTATAAATCTGTTACTATGCACAAATTAAAAAAAAAAAACAAACAAACACCTAATTCTAAATGAGAGTGCTACACCAGGACCACACAGATGATTCTCAGTCCAAGTTGGTATCTTCAGATAGCTCTGACTGGTGCCATGGAGACCAAACAACTTGGCTGAGTTTTACTCAAGAACAGCTAAAAATGTTTCAGTACAGAACTAAACACTGATGAAAATTTGTCTTTACTAGTGAAGACCTCAAGTAGCCTATAAAGTTAGCTTCTTGCTTAAATACTCCAAGCCAAACTCTCTGTCTCTTTACACCAACTATACTTGGAGCTCTGCATTGTTCAGTTATGGTCTTTTCTGTGATGCAAAACTTGTCTGCTTTTAATAACTCAGACACTGCAACTAAAACAGCTGCAAACCATGTCATGTTCTCATTCCTTCATCCAGTGCTGCCCCAAGATCACCCTCAATATTGTGGCAGTACAGAATAGACTCAATCCCAGCTTTTGGTCCTAGGTATCTCTGTCTTCAGCAAAGAGGATGGAGAAAGAAAACAAATGCCTACAGAGAAACATGCATGCAGATGAGGGAAGCTCTGTGCTGATGAGGGAAGAAGAGGGAAACTAGATTATTGCATGTGGGACAAGGATTAGCTGTCATTGTTCCAGGCAGACACTTATTTGAAAAGGAGCTAAAGCTGGGGGAGTAAAAGTTATCTCTCCACATAATTGCAACTGTCTTGCTTGCAGTATTCCCCCTCTCTGAGAATCACTGCCATAATAGTGACAACTATGACTCAGTGCATGACTTACATTTATGCCTTTGATGTGCTCTCTGTAAAACAACATTCACTTATTTCCCAGCAAACACATTTAGGCTCCATAAAATGTGCATGCATTTCTTCCTTTGGCGGGGGAGAGATAAAATATTTAGGCTGGTTTCTAAATCCATTGCTTTTTCTTCCTCCCTCCTTTTCTCCCAGTGCAGCTAACAAAATAATCATTCCTCGCCGTGTCTCACTCAATAAAACACTAAATAAAATCAAAAAGCCAAGCTGCTCATATCATGAAATAAAATATAATGCAGATGTCATGTGCATAGCTAATCTTCCCTAAGTAACGTTGTTCAAGTAGATAACCACCAGCCACACTAGAGAAACACATTTCCAAGATACCACATAAGCTATTAAGTATCATTATCACTTCTCCAGGAATCTAGGTAAACAAGTATGCATCAAAAACAGACCTTTAAAGGGATAAAAAATTAAACTGATGAAAAATCCTACTGACTCACTGGTTGCCTGTCTCACTGACAGTGGAACAAGGACTTCACCTCAAAGCTTTATGCTCTGTAATATATGAAAAATATTTTAAAGATTAATTTACTATTCTTGATTTCCTTGGCAACTAGCAGCACACCAATCCTGCCTGGCACATTGTTGTCTCCCTCCTTCGTCCTATAGCGTATACAATACAGACTGATTTCTTAATCACAGCAACCATTTTGACCATTTCTCCTTTACAGCCATTTGTTCAGAAAATGGTGACATCTATATTAAGAAATATTGTACACCATAAAGACTGTAAGCAAGAGATTCAGCTAGCACACTGCAGAATGTTTGACTGTCAGTGCACTGATCTACAGCATTTAAGACTCTCATCACAGCCACTGCAATGGAAATGGTAGTCATATTGCTTCCCGATATGAAAACTGACAAGAACATAGTTGAAGTCTTTATTTTTGTAAATAAACCAGTGAAAACCTTAACAACCACACAGACCTTTCACTACTTTAGTCAGCCTATGTACAAAGCATAATTTTCAGGTGTTTATGACAATTGCCAATTTCATACAATTTCATACAAGTGGAGAAGAACCTTCTGCAGCAGGTGGCTGAACTGCAGGGAACAGTGAGAAGACTGAGAAATATTAAGAAGGCAGAAAAGGAAACAGATAATTGGTTCTAGATACTCACTGAGGCAAACCCACAGCCTGATACTACAGCACCAAAAACTCCCCCATTACCAAATACAGAAAGGAGGGAAGTGAATAAAGTGAAAAAGAGAAATAGGAATGGAATAGTGTGGAGTCAAAAACCCGAATGTAGAAAAGACTTGCTTCAACACCTAAGATGCCCCTGCAGAACCATTTCACAGTTCTGCAGACTGAAGAGGAAAGCAACCCATGCCAGATAAACTGTCAAAGCTGACCAAGGCAGCTCACTTGGCATATTGTATAATGACAAGTGCTCATAAGAAGCAGCAACGAGTAATAGTTGTGGGGGACTCTCTTCTCAGGGGTACTGAGGGACCATTCGCAGACCTGATCCACTTACTAGGTCTGCAGGTTACTGGGGGCTGGCATCAGAGATGTAACAGAAAGATTACATAAATGCTTATACAGCCTTCTGACTATGATCCACTCATACTGCTTCCCATGGACACCAATAACACAGACAAGAGTAAGCTGAAAAGTATCAGGCAAGACTGTAGAGCACTGGTAGAAACAGTGAAGGGCTCAGGAGCACAGATGGTCTTCTCATCAATCCTTCTGGTCAAATGGAAAGGGCTGGAAAGGGCCGACCAAATTGGAATAATCAATGGCTACAGGAGTGGTGTCATAGCCAGGGGTTCAGTTACATAGACCACATGATTCATTTTGAGAGAAGTGGTTTCCTGGAGGCTGATGGAGTTCATTTGTCAGAGAAAGAGGAGAGAGTATTTGGCAGGAGGCTGCCCAATTTAGGTAGGAGGGCTTTAAATTATTTATGCCAGGGAGAAGACCTTCAACTTATCCCACACCCACCACTTTGAGGACAGAGACAGTAACAGCTGCCCTGGGCCTGCAAGAGGATCACAGGGCAGCAGGAAAGCATCTGAACTACAAAATGTAATCCTTGCCAACACAACTGCTTTGAAAGGGGTCCATCTTAAATGCCTCTATGCAAACACACAGAGCATGGGGAATAAAAAAGAGGAATTGCAGATGTGTGCATGCCTGCAGGGCTATGATGTTACTACACTGAGACATAGTGGGATGACAACTAAGATGGGAGTGTGGAGATGGTTGAGTACAAGCTCTTCAGGAAGGACAGGCAGGGAAGAACAGAAGGGGGTGCCACCCTCTACATCAATGACCAGCTGGAGTTCATAGAGCTGTCTGGGGTTGAAGGACAGAGACCTTGTGGGTCAGGTTTAAAGGCAAGACAGGGGCAGGAGATATCATAGTGGAGGTCTGATACACACCACCCAACCAGGAAGACCAAGTGGATGAGGACAGATAGGAGCAGCTTCAGGCTCATAGGCTTGGTCCTCATGGGGGATTTCAACCATCCTGATACCTGCTTGAGAGATAACACAGCAAAGCACCAGCAATGCTTGAGAAAAGAAGGCCTTACTACAGTGCTTCAGTACTAAAATGGTTGTTACCAAGAAGATGGAGACTCCCTATTTATGAGGAGTCACATGGAAAATACAAGGGGTAACGGGCACAAGTTGCTCCTGAGAAGATTCCGGTTGGATACCAGAGGTAAATTTTTCCCCATGAGGACAGTCAAACATTGGAATAGTCTCCCAAGGGAAGTGGTAGATTCCCCCACATGGCAGTTTTAAGTCTCTGCTTGACAAGGTACTGAGCCACCTCATATAAACTATAATATTACCTAAAAGGGTCAGACAAGATGATAATTGGGGTGCCTTCCAACCTGACATTCCACGATTATATGATTGTATGAATCCAGGAAGTTCCTGGAGTGTATTGATGGCAACTTCCTCCTCCACATGGTAGAGGAACCAACAAGAAAAGATGCTTTGCAGGACCTTGTTCTCACCAACAGAGACAGGCTGGTTGATGATGCAAATCTTAATGGGAGACCAGGCTGTAGCAATCACGACGTGGTCAAATTCAGGGTCATTATGGCAGGGAGAAAGGAGCAAAGCAAGTTCACTACCCATTTCAAAAGAGCAAAGTTTGGTCTCTTGAAGGACCTGCTTGGCAGGGTTTCGTGGGACAAAGTCCTGGAGGGAATGGGAGCCCAGGAAAGCTGGTCTGTATTCAAGGATCACTTTCTCCATGCTCAGGAGCTGTATGTCCCGACAAAGATGAAGGCAGGCAGGAGTGCCAAGAGGCCTGTATGGATGAGCAATGAGCTTCTGGACACAGTTTAATGTAAAAGCAAAGTTTACAGACAAGTTGTCAGAGAAGGAAGGGATCATGCAAAGAAGGCCAAAGCACAAATGGAGTTAGATCTGGCCAGGGATGTTAAGAACAAGTCTCTACAGGTATGTCAGCAATAAGAGGAAGACTGGGGAAAACATGGGCACACTTCAGAAAGAAACTGGAGACCTGGCCATTCAGAACATACAGAAGGCTGACATACTCAGTGACTCTTTGGCCCCAGACTTCACTGAGAAGGGCTCTGGTCACACCACCCCAGTCATAGAAGGCAAAGGCAGGGACTGGGAAGGAAGAACCCCCCACTGAAGGAGAGGAGCAGGCTCAAAACCACCTGAAGGACATGAACATGCACAGGTCAATGGGATCTGATGGGATTAATCCACAGCTCCTGAAGGAACTGGCAAATGAAGTTGAAAGCCTTTGCCCATCATATTTGAAAATTCTTGGCAGTCTGGTGAAGTTCCCACTGACTGAAAAAGGGGAAACATAACACCCATTTTCAAGAAGGGAAAAAAGGAAAAGCCAGGAAACTATAGGCCAGTCAGTCTCACCTCTATGCCCAGCAAGATCATGGAGCAGATCCTACTGAAAGATCTGCTCAGGCACATGGAAATCTATGGGGTGATTGGTGACAGTCAACACTGCTTCACCAAGGGCGAATCCTTCCTGACTAATTTGGTGACCTTCTATGATGGGATTACAGCATTGGTGGACAAAGGAAGAGCAACTTATGTCATCTACCAGAACCTGTGCAAGCATTCAACTCTGTCCTGCCTGACATCCTGGTATCCAAACTGGAACAATGTGGATTCGATGGACCACTTGGTGGATAAGGAACTGGCTGGATGGTCACACTCAAAGAATGGTGATCAATGGCTCAATGTCGAGACGTAGAACAGTGATGCGGTGTTCCCCAAGGGTTGGTACTGGACCAGTGCTATTTAATATCTTTGTTGGAGACATGGACAGTGGCACTGAGTGCACGCTCAACAAGTTTGCTGATGACACCAAGCTGTGTGGAAGTAGACACTCTGGAGGGAAGGGATGCCATCCCAAGGACCTTGACAGGCTTGAGAGGTGGGCTCATGCAAACTAAATTCTAAACTGCATGAAGTTCAACAAGGCCAAGTGCAAGGCTCTGCACTTCAGTTGGGGAAATCCCACGTGCAAATACAGGTTGGATGGAGAATGGATCTAAGAGACTTGAGGAGAAGGACTTTGGGGTGGTGGTGGACAAGAAGTTCAACAGGGGCCAGCAATGTATGCTTGCAACACAGAAAACCAGTGGTGTCCTAGGCTGCATAAAAATAAATGTGGTCAGGAGGTCAAGGGAAGTGATTCTTCCCCTCTGCTCTCATGAGACCTTGCCTCGAGTACTGTGTCCAGTACTGGAGTTCTGGGGAGACATCATAGCAGCCTTTCAGTAACTGAAAGGGGCCTACAAGAAAGCTGGGGAGGAACTTCTTACAACGGCTTATAATTAAACTGTAAGAGGGGAGATTTAGAATACACATTAGGAGAAAAATCTTCACTATCTGGGTAGCTAGACACTGGAACAGGTTGCCTAGGAAAGCTGTGGAAGCTCCATCCCTGGAAGTGTCCCAGGGCAAGCTGGATGTGGGTCTGAGCAACCTGGTCTAGTTGGACGTGACCCCACCAACGCAGGGGTGTTGGATCTAGATGACCCCTCAGGTCCTTTACAACCTAAACCATTCTATGACTCCATAATTCTATATTTAATGCCACATATAAGAATGTCAGTGGCACACACTCTTGAGAAAGAAAACATCCAAAAGGATATGATGAAACATGGGAATATTTCCTCAAGCCAGTAATTTTTGTGATGTCTTTAAAAATAGATTCTTTTTTTCATGGGCATTTACGTTTATGCAAAAATGGGTTTTGTTCTTTTCCCTTTAGCCCAAGGAATATGTTTTTTTGTTATTTATTCATTTTTCTGCATCTTGCCTTCTTCAAGAAAAGCACCCTCCTTCTTCACACTGTGTCTGATTTCATTTTCTATTATTTTGTTTATTTTTTCAGACATTCAAATTTAATTTCCAGAAGCAAAAAGCCATTGGAATGCGTATTGTCAGAGTTATAAGACACCAAATCTAGTCTATAGAAATAAAGAGCTAAACATAGCTATGATGTTGAAAATGTTTAAACCATAAAGAATAGCTTTAAAAACATGTAAAGCCAAAATGGAGCATCATTCCAATAAATTATGAGAAAGGACCAATTACAGCTATAACATTGCAAAGCACATTTTGTTTACCACAAAAGCTTTAAAGCCAGCTGGAGATGTTATTTACAAATTTCTTGAGTGTTCAACATATTCATTTGAAATCTAGTTTGGCTGAAGCTAAACCTACACGCAAAAAAAAAGGTTAAAAGAAGAGTAATAATTATTTGTTATCTTCTTCCTTTGTCCTTGCTGTTAATTGAATTTCCTCTGGCTAAGGAAAACAGGCTGGAAATATCAAATCAGTCACACTTAATTTTGTTGAGAACTGTGACATGTCAATGCAAAACAAACATTAAAAAAAATAATCAAGCTTCAAAGAAGGATTTGGGCATTCAAAGATTGTTGGTGATGCTATCTCCTCCGTTGCCTTTAACATTCATTTCCTCTCCATTGTAAGAATTTCATTTGTATTAGCTTTCACACCCTGACAGTTCTTTTCTTCCCAGTCCCTCCCGACATAATAACTGGGATCTATAAAATAATTGAAATAGATTTATATGACCAAGAATTAATTTATTTAAACAAAGTTCAGCTATTTTGTACCTGGTTGAGCAACACTCAGAACCACAAATATCTTTTTCTCCAACACTTGTATTTCTGCACATTTGTCACTTAGTGAATCTGATCCATTTTCTAGTCTTACAGAAACTTTTATCTGTTTTAAACCTTGATTAATCCCTAAACAAACAGCTAACATAGAGAACACCTGTTTATTCAAGGTCAAAAATGTTACATCACAAACCCATGGCATTCTGATCTCAAATAAAAGTAGAGAAGGACAAGTACGTAGACATGTAACAAAAAATCATGAAAGTATCCAAGTAACATCCATTCATAATTTTGTAGTAACATTATTGAATACTTTTACAATTAATTAAATTAATATAATTTATTCTCTCCCGTCACTGGACACCACTGAAAAGAGCCTGGCTCCACCCTCTCTGCATCTTCCTTTCAGTATTTGTTAAATTAAAATTTCTAAAACACATTCATGAGTTTTCTTCTGAGCCTCCTTATCTCCAGGCCAAACAATCCCAGGTGTGTCAGCTTTTTACCACAGCAGAAATACTCCATATACTTCACCACCACCACCACGGAACTTGTTGAACTCTCTCCAGCATGTCTACATCACACTTGTACTGAAGATACGTTATAATTTTCGCCTTAGGGGAAGTCTCACATTATTTTAAGCTGACTTCAATAACATATTTCTATTTCCCTACCCTGCTCCCCATTTTTTCCCCATAAAGTGACAAATTCTTAAAACACAGATTTTCAAAAATATTTACAATCTATACATGACTTATCAGATTTATTTCAAAACTCCTATAAATAATACAGTAGTCAAAGAAGAAAGGATTTGGATGAAGTCATTCTGTATAACTCACACATAATGTGAATATACGAAAATAAAAAATTCAAGTCAACTTTATATACAGTGCTGCTTTCTCTGCATGTTCAGATTCATTAAAGAAAATAACAACTGGTGTCCATCCAGATGGTAAAATGCATCTCATGCTGATGGAGGCAAATTGTGCTTTGTACATAAAAGACCAACCACACATACTGAACTTTCCAGCACTAAGTTTTAAGAAAGAATCACCTACCACAACCAGGCAGACTTTCAGGTTGGTCTTCTTATTTTGACAACCTTGCAAGCAGGTTTCCAAGCAGAGCACCTCAAGAATTCAAACGGAAATTGTCCTTGGGCTTCCATTCTTTCTTAGAAAAAGTAACCTAATTTTCTAGGGAAATCACAAGAAGTGTCCAACAGCTACCATGTTACCATATCATATTATGTTTATTGCATTATATGGTGTATATTATACTATATTGTTATATTATATACAATTATATGTCATGCATATTATATATATATAATCTCTGAGGATATGCACTATCATCTAGTTGTGAAAGCATAATTATGAACAACAATGAAGTTCAGAATCTTTACTTGGGTGTATATTAAAGAAAATTTGTACACATTTATCAATATTTTCCTAATAAAAAAAGGCATTAATTGTAACAAAATCATACAGTTAATTTTCTAAGATGGAGTGGAATATTTGCTTTGCAGAACAGAGCATGTTTTCTTGAACACCTGAAGAATGCCTAAAGTACACAATTAAATTATTCCCATTACTTCAGTCAGAGGCTGAAATTTTACCACTTTTGTGCTTACACTTGCCTAATTACAGCTACAAATTATAAGCCTGCATACCTGCAAGTATGCCTGGATGGCTTAATCCACATTGTGATCTTTCACTTGTTTCTTCCCTTGGAAACAAGGTGAACTTGTTACTACTTTTTACACTTTTAATTACCTAGCTGAGCTTAAAATGGTGAAAGAACATTTTGGTTATGTGTGGAGAGTCCATATGATGTGCTCATATTTGTTATTTTGAACTACCTGATTTCAGGAAAGACCATGATATTGGTAGAAAATTTAACTAGTACAGACTTATATTGAAATTACTTTATACAGTTCTTCTGTATCTTCTAAAGATACCAATTCATTTAATTATAAACTGCCAGCTAATAGAGCACTATCAATAAAGTTTTCTCCCCATTGATCTTCTAAGAGTTTATATATGCTTTAGGTCATTACATACAGCATTATGTAAGGCAGATAATTTTGAGAATAATTTTTATTCTAGTACAGAACTCTGATTTATCAGAGACAATAAAATATTACAAAACATAGACTTTTGGTTGTTTTCTTCCTGCCAATTATAAAAAAAAAAAATAATAAAAAAATAAATCAATTTAAGTCTTACAGTGGTCAGTCCAGGACCCCTAAATGACATGAACAAAGTAAGATTTACCAACTACCATATGATTTACATATTTAGATGT